TGAAAGTTATATTTATTTTTAATATATTTTCTTATTGATTTTTTCCTCCTTTCCTTGGATATATAATATATACATATATAATTTTTCTACATATGACTTTTATAGCATATCTATTTTAAGTGAAAATTTCTGTTAAATTTACATTTTGTATTCAACACACATTCACATAAACCTTCCCTACGTGCAAGCCAATTAATATCGTTGATTTGCATCGAAACCAGAAAAACCTTAAATTAGAACACTTTCGGTTGACTTTCCTTCATGTGAATGACTTGCAAATAAAATATATCAAACACATAATGGACTTATCTTCAATCTTAACATTTAATTGCTGAGAATTTAAAAGAAAGTTGTAAGTTTGCGTGCGAAATTTATTTTTTGAAACCAATTAGAAAGCGAATTGCCAGCCGCAAATATACAAAAGCGAGTTGCCAATTTAATGTCGAAAGATAAATTAGGAATTATATTGTATTTACTTTGTGGCTCATATTTGAAATAAAATTAATATAAATTTATACTAATCTAATTAATTAAGGTGGTATTTTGTTTTTAGGATTTATATTTATTCCTAAAGCTTCAGTTTCATTAATTTTTAATTAATTTTTTATATGAAGTAATTTATTAAAACTGTGGCTCGATAGATGAAGGTGGAAAGTGCAAATATTGAAAAAATATATTTTACAATAACTAAAGTAAATTTTTAGTAAAAAATTATTTTTATTACATAATTAATTTTAAATTGTAATGACATTTTTTAAAATTTTGAATTTAATCTACCTCTCTCTAATATTTCCATAAAATGCAACTATTAATATATCTATACAATTCAATCGACTAACCGGAGTAAAAATCCTATGCTGTTTTTTCGGTATTCTACTAATCGACTAACCGGATATGATAGGACAGCATAGGATTTTTAATCCTGGTATACTATATACACATATGCAAATATAAAAAAGCGTTAATCCGGTTAGCGGGATAATTTCGTATTATTTCAATGAGTCAGTTTTGCAACGTCTCGTCAATTTAATAAAAAGTTTGTATAACAATAGATATATAAAAAAAGTTAAATCTCTTCTCCTCAAAAAAACTTTGTTTTGACTATCGACAGCATCGTTAGTGTAGATAGCAATCTATGGTTGCAATTGGCGATTATTTTTTACGATTTTTTGTTTTAACCGAAAATTGTTTTCTTTGAAATAAGCTTAGTTGAGCAATATATGCTTAGAAAATAAATTTTTCATAAGGAGGTTGAAAAACATCGCAATTAGATGAAATAAAAAAACGCTTTCAATCGTTAAGTGGGGCCTTATTTTGACTCTTCTGAAAAAACTTGCGGTAAAAGAATATACATATTTTTTTACATCATCCGAGAATTGAGTTTTCAAGGAAGATTTTAGAAACCAAGATGTTTTAATTTTTCTGTTTAACTTAAATTTTGAGGTTATATAACACAAAAGTTTTAGATCTTTTTGTTAGCTGCAACTTTGCCAAGTAACTTTTTTGCCTACAACTTGTGGGTTTTCCTTAAATAAAGGGAGCCCGTTTTTAATTCCTCAAAATCTCTTCTTCTTTCCGACCTAAAATTTTTCGAATTTTTCTTTAATTTTTCATATTTTATCTCCCTTTTCGAATGGGTGTTACCTTGTATGATTTTTATTTTCTTTCAAATCGACCCAAGTCTAATCTTGTATAAGTGTAAGTTTTTTTTTTTAGTTCGGTCTTAAGCCCCCCAGATAAAATCGATATAAATTACAATCTGATATTATTATATCGTACTTCAATTTATGTGGTGTTTGATATATTTACAAATGTTGAGCGTCGAAATTTGCTCAGGAAAAATTGTGGAAGTATTGTTAATAATAATGTTTTTTTTCTAAAGAATTTCGGCAAAGTGAAATTAATTGTGGTATTTTTTAGTTTAAGCTTTGATCAATCGAGCGTTCTAGTTGAAAACGGGTTCTAATTACAGTTACAACGAATATTGGACATTGAATATTTTTTATAGAAGATTGCCAAAATGATTATTTATTATAAGAAATGCATTCAATTGAAATCACATAATATTTTCTTCAAACTTCATATCTCCACTAATTTCATTACAGTCGGGACACACACCATACATCAGGCGGTTAAAGGATTTGCTAATTTATATATTGTTATACTATATACCATACAAAAACACATAAATGCGGTCAATTTCAATTAGACTACAATTGATATTTTTACTTTGAATTCAAATTTGTGTTATTTTTCATAAAGTTAAAAAAAAACACTTTAAATAAAATTAGTATTACTCAATTGAAAGCGCTTTACAACCATAATAAAAATATAAAACGCAATATATGAACACATAAAGATATTACAAACTTCTACTTAGAAAACAAATTCAAATCATTGAGTTATGTTAACTCAAAACTTCATTGTGCCTCAGAGAAGCCAGAAGTTACTCTTAACTGCCTCAAAGACACACAGTGTGGGTGAAAATATCCGCATTACAGCCTCTTACATGCTTTACATACCCATATGCATATCTACTTATGTAAACTTTCAAACATATTTATCTGCACATAACGTGTATACCGAAAGTAAAAGTTATTCCGCGCCATGCGCATATTTTCTACATCATCCGATAAATGAGATTTCAGAAAAAAGTTATTTGCGCAGTTGCTTGCCTGCCATCAGCTCTGGGCTGCACGCTCCCACCACTGACGAGCATCTTCGCTTCGAGATATTGAATATAAATCTTAACTTATTTTCTTTGAGATTTTTTTCTCGCTGCAAACTCGGTATCGGCCTTTTGTGAATTTATTTATTTTTCAATACGTTTTCTGCGTTTTCTTTTGGCTGGTCGACTATTTACAAATATACGTATATGCATGTGTGTATGTGTTTTCGAAGCTTTTTATGTGTTTATCTTTTGCTTTCCTCCGCTCTTCGCAGCACCTGCTGCTCATCATATATTTCACTAATTGTTTTCCGGCGAAATACGAAGCATTTTTTTCTCACATTTAGCGTGTGACATAAGCTGTACTTATTTCTCGAGTGTTCGTGGCGAAATCTTGAGCTTACGGCTCCACTTGCACTTCAACGCTTTTCCCATTATCTTGCGCTGTGCAGCCGTGTCAATATCATCTTTGGTGTCTTATGTAATATTATTGCTATTATTACATTGTTATTGTTGTTTTTATTGGCCGTTGTGTTGGTCAGTTGAAGCCATTGTCGGTAGTACCGCCACATTTTGTGGCAACCGAAACCGGTACAACTAAGTGAAATGTCTTACTTACTGCATGCAATAAACACATGACAACAACAAAAATAACAAATATGTAACAACAGCAAGCACTTGACAGCATGTGACTGCATTATGTTTATTTTTATTTGCAGGTACTGTATGGCAGACAACAGTTACATAGGCATTTATGCAGTGGCCGTGCAATTTTCGTGCATTTCACGTTCATGATTCATGGACATGCTAGTGAATTGTGCCTGTGTTTGTGCTTGAAAAGTCGGAAGTACTATATAGTTTAAGGCATTTGCATTTAGTTTTTGACTATGCAGGTTCAAGTGCTTATTAACAATTAAAATTAGTTATTATATTTCGTGCTTAACATATTATTATGCATTACAAGGTGTCAGAAGTGGCGCAAAAACTCTTACTAACCGACGGTATAAGTTTCGGTTATCATGTTAGTTATTTACAAGTGATTTGGCATTATGTCATAAGGCTTGTTGGAAAATATGAATATAGCAAATTTCTAGTCCAAAAATTATCGCTAAAGCATCACTTAATACTCTTTGTATGTTCGCTGTAAACATGAAAGAAGTAGTATATATATTTAATTTTATTTTTTTTTAAAGAAAATTAACATTATTGTAATACAAATTTTATTGACGAAAGATTACTTCACTTGTGTTGTATAGGCTCCAACATCAAAACCGACACATTTCATTCTCTCATTTCATCGACCCCTTTGTTTTTGATTTAGAGCCTCCTACTATAACAATTAATCAAGAAAATCTGCTTCATTAAAAGGCGTTATCTGAAGCTTATTTACTTCGTGGAGGTTAACAGAGAGCAATTTCTTAAATAACCATATGCTCTCCTTCTAAAAATTTCAGCTGAAGTGACGTCAGCAGAACAGCTGTTATTAACTAAGAATTGAAATGACTATGATTCTGAATTCTGAAATATTCATGATTAGAAATTTATCTGCTAGCATCATTATTCACCCTTTGAGATAAAGTACCACCCAGTAGATATATTTTTAATCCTGAGTAGTACACCTTAAGTTTGCGATAAAGTTTGTAACACCTAAAAATCGGAGACCACATAAACTGTATATATAAATGATCGGCGTGACGAGCTGTGTCCATTAGGCTGTGTCCGCTGGTCCCTCAGCTTTTGAGATATCGATCTGAAATTTTGCACACGTTCCCGAAGCCGTTGACAGTTCTTGACCATATCAAAGTCAGGGTCCGTTCAGGTAACATTGACTCGACTGTCGTGGAAACGGTCGGAACTGCCAATATCAGACCATGACAGTATATAGCTTCCATACAAGCTTAGCGGACGGAATCAAGTGCTGACAAGAAGGTTTTTTCATTTGACGAGATATCTTCAAGAAATTTGACATGCGTTATAGCGCAAGGAAATGATGTAATCTCCAAAGAAACGGATTAACTCGGACCAGTATTTAGCTGACATACAAACTGACCAATCAAAAAAAAAAAAAAAAAAAAAAGTTAAGTATAGTTGAGTTTTGGTTATAAATTGATTACATATAGTAGGTCATCAAGCACACATATATTGGTTATTATATCTTGTTGATACGTTGTTTTGCATTTTGTGTGACGATTTTAACTATAATTCTTGCTTTAGTTGCCTTAATCGTGTTTGTCATACATAGATACACTGCAGTCATTCATAGAGTGAAGTGTTTCCCTTTCTATAACACATCCTTGTAAAACTATATCTTATATAAGTATATTACTTTCAGAACAATACGAATAGCCGAATTCCAGTACAGATCATCTTCTATAAGTTCTAAAGTCACGTTTATTATGTTAATGGAAGCAACAGAAAATAGTATGGTATGTAGAAGTCTAACTCTCCTATAATTTAATGTCGTCTTTGGATTAAGAAGCACCAAAAGTAAATATATATGTTTTTTGTTGGAATGCTTTAAGTCTAAAACTCTTTTATATATTATAAAAATGTTCATAGAAAGGTGATTTATTTATCAATAAAATTGTTAGAAAAATGTAGTGAGTAGCAGCAAGACTAAGAAAACATACTCATCTAGTTGTATACATTTTGTTAATGTATGCACCAAGAGATGCTTGGATAAAATCCAACACAAAGATGGCATACAAAAACGAGAGGCAGATTATATGTATGCATAAATGTATATGTATATAGGTGATGGTGGATAAATTAGAATTCCTTAACATAATTAGAACCGTTAATTAGGCATTTTGTGTGCGGCTGATTGCTGAAAAAGGGAATTGACATGAAAATAAGCAACAACGAAAATATGATTCAACTACTTATCCAAAGCTACAGCGTAAAAAGACTTAAGGCCATGAAAGGGTCTATAGTGCACTACAAGGAACATTAAAATGAAACAAAGTGCGTAGGAAGTCAAGCTGAAAAGGCACACTTTGATATGTAAATTTTAGTTGGAAATGGACTAGGAAAATATCAGCGCACTTTGAGCGTGTAGTATGGCAATGTTGCTGATGTAAATTATACATACTTAGAACTAATATAGCTTTAATGGTTACATCCACATTTGAGTTAAAAAAATGTATTCTCTTTTTTCTATATACAAGTACATCGAACTTATGTATGTTTGCGATTATTTGTTGTTATTGGCCTTCAATACTGTAAATCTTTTTTTTCAGAGCGCTGTTTTCGGAGTCAGTGAGGAAAAGCTTTCCGGAAAAGCTATAGATAGATTTGAATATTTCACAGGATTTTCACAGATATATTCATTAGATATCGATGGAATACGATTTTTTGCAAATAATTTCGATTTTTAAGCCAAACTGCTGTACGCTTTTTCACAAAATTTTTTTGTTTTCTTAGGAAGCCTAAATTTGATCTCAATTGAGCATTTTAATAAGTCCTTCAATCATTTCTTGCTTTCGTCTATTAATAATTAATAATTTTATTCATATTTGGATTTGAGATAATTTTAGGCAGAAACATCTTCGAAATTTGACATGCGTTATTTTCAAAATTAATCATTCAATCTCTGAAAAAAATTCTTCAGATCGGCATGCTGTGGTATACAGCTGCCATACAAATTGAGACATAGGAAGCTAGGGCTTGTATGAAAATTTTTTTAATTTCACGAGGTATCTTGGACAAGTCTGACGTGGGTTATTTTACAAGACTAGGTTGCAACTTCCGAAGAAATTGTGCAGATCGGATTACTATAGCATATAGCTGCAATACAAACAGCTCAATTTATACAAAATTTCAAAAAATTGAAACCTTCAGACAACAACATCATACATTGAATACATTGATACATTCTTAGACTCCTGGTCATCATAAGAAAAATTCTTTCTAATTCGTAAATTAGTTCAACTACTTTTTTGTTAATTCCCTTGTATTCCTTTTATACATTTTGCATTTTCTTTCTGTACATTAATCTCAAGCACACCTTCACTGTTCTCAGTGTTATTTCGACTCTTTAACTGTCTATCACCTGTTTTGCTACTTCCATTTCCTACATCAGCTTTGCCATTCGCTTGGTTGAATGAACTGCTGCTGGCGTGCGTAAACATTTCGAGTGATTAAACAAATGCTGTACTTAAATAAAATAGTAATTTATTCAATTTTACGAGCATCTGTTTTTTCTGTGACCTACAGCAATGCTAATTTACCGCCACCGAAAGAAATAAATTTTCAAAGTCGCACACTAAGCATACTTTCAGGCATTCTGTTCTGCCAACAACACCACCTAACACCAGCGCCATTAATACGGCACACCCGCACAACCGGTCAACTGCATTTGCTGCTGCTATTTTGCAAACTCTTCCACATCCATATCCACTAACTGTTTTTTTACATTTGTCGCCTGCCAGTCGCACTTGGCTGTTGCTCTAAAAGTTGCTACCTTTCGCGTCTCGCGCCCGCTTATATTTACTTCGCTAATTGCAATCGCACAAATGCTCTTCGGCAAGCTGGCTTTCTTGGCCGGTTCTTCTGCCTGTCTGGTTTTGTGTTTGCTTGACTGTTTTTAAGCTGCCTGCAGTCATTAAGTGCCAGCGTTACGTATGCGCGCGCAAAACAGACTGATAACTGTGAAAATTAATTTCAATTAAAAAGGTTTTGCAACGCCGCCTCGCTCTCTCCTCACTCACACACTCCTGCTGTCGCTTGCAGTCATTAATGCCGCCATTGGAGCGGAACTGAGAACTTTGCCTTACTTTGCTAGCCAACTGTAGTGCTTAGTATGCTTAGCGCAATGGCCGGAAATGAAAGTCCTTTAGCAGTTGTCTTAGTGTGTGGGTGTCTATCCGTGTGTTGTGCAAACTAAGATATTGACCGTATAATAAAGCTATTCAGCTGTGCGGCGCTCATGACTATATTGAGTGTTGAAGTGCAGTCTATTTTTCTTAGTGCCACATTTTCATTGTGCCCCTCGGCAGCTGCCGCAGCTCATCTGCCACTTCATTAGCGCTTTCGCCTATCTAGCGGTGTTTCCGCTTCCGTTCCAAAGAATGACAGCTGTAGAAACTATGTAACTGTGCATCGCTATGCATTTGCAGTGGTACAGCGCATACAGTGATTCATACTTTGTTACAATATATAATAATGCTTTACTGCGTCTTGATTTGGTAGCATCAACTACTGCCCTTCCCCATTTGCAAGTCTGTTATTTTATCGCGCCTCTGCTAGCGATTGGAATGAGTTTGTCTGTTTCTGCGTTTTACCTTTCGTACGATTAAGGCTTCTTTGCATTTTGAAAGTCTTCTTGCAGTTCCCTTCTTGTTATAGGGATAAACACATCGCAGTTGCTAGTATTTGCTCAAAGCGAAAATCTTAAAATAAAACTGTCTTATTTATTGGCAACAGTTAAATCAAGTAGTGGCATTTTCGACTTCTATTGGATATACAAATTCTAAAAAAAATTTAGAAATATTTGTATTGAGAATACTCTATTTGAAGACGAGTGTACTATATATACGATAATTGGAAAGGGAAGGAAGAAAAATAAATATAGTTTTAGTGCAGAAAATTGTCATACAAAATATGATAGATATAGATAGAACAACACCCAGAAAAGCTCCCACAGTACCTTAAATCTGTTCTTTTATTATTTTGAGATGCTTTCTAATTCACATTGGCTTCAGAATTCGTCACAAGTATTTCAAATTCCTGTAAGGAACACTTGTAAGGTCAACTGAAAACTCCTAATATGTATTTAGAATTTGTTATTGTGGTCATCGCCGTAAGTCAACCTGTCGATAGGATGTTGGTGCGAAAGATCAAAGGATCCTACAAGAAGTTATTAATAAAAGCCACTGCTGTAGGGTTGTATAATACAAAATTATATTTCTTCGAAATGTAACATGATGATTTTCAAGTTCGTTATTTTTACATTACCAAATACAAGGTTTAATTTAATTCTTTGGATATGTGGTGTTCTCGTGTGTGGGTTCTGTTGGTGTGGTGAATTGAAGTGTGACAGTGTTGTGCCTTTCTGTAGAGGTGCGTTGATGTGGTGGATTTAGGGGAAGGCTTACCTCATTTAGCCAAAAATTATCATGATCATTTTTCGAAAATTCAATCAATGTAAAAAAAAATTTAATGAAATTGTTTACAGTGTGGTTGAGTAAGTTAGGAAGAAAATGCCAATAGTTCTGAGCAGCTGTAAATTCTACCACAAACCGGAATACTATTTTACATTATTTGAAAATTTTTTTCTTTTAACATTAATTTTCAAGACTATTTTTTTCAGAGTAGTTGAATAAATTTTTTAACAGTAAGTAATTATCGTTGCACTAAGGAGAATTAAAAATTACAACATACTTTTTAAAATATTTTTGTCTTGAATTTTTGATGCCTTCTGTGACTTTTAGTAGTCATTCCAGAACCAGTTTTAAACCCGTTCGGACTTCATGAAACCAATCTGTTAAATAAATATAATTGAAAAGCCGAGTTTACATTGACTATAAAAGAACAGAAGGAAAAATAAATAGCTAATTTTAGTACCCGTTTACCCTTGTCTAAAATACCTAAAGGGAATCGTTGGAGACCCTGTAAGGTACATACATTTATAAATACTTAATCAGCGTGACGAGTTAAATTGATTCCGCCATAACTATTTAAAATTTTTTCTTTGAATGAAGTTTGTGTGGCTTATTTCCCAAGACGTTGCAAGCTCCAAAGAAACCTTGTAGATCGAGACAATATAACTGATCGGTCAAAATATGGTTCTTATAAGCAAATTTTATTATTTTTATTTTTGAAAGCCAAATAATACTGAACAAAAATAAATAGCAGCTTGACATGACTCCCGCGTGATCTGTTATAAAAAGGCTCCTGAAAAAAGTATATATACATGGATCACCCGTTATAATAAAAAAAATAGGCTTTATTCCGTGTTAAAATTTAATTGATACACCATGGCGTATAAGTAACCAAAAATAAAATACTACCATAATCAAACAAAATTGTAGCAACAAAGCTGCTTTTGTACAACGCTTACATTGAAATTAAAATACACACCTCTAAAACAACACTGGAAACTAAACAAATATTCTGTATTCATACATCAAAAATCCCGCAACAATTGCAATGCCCTGCACTCAACTAACACAATTCATGCTTGTTCCACTCTTTCTATTTTCCTTACTTAATTCACGCTTCCAGCAAAATTTTTGCCCACAAAATACCGAAGCTCAAAATAATGAAAAAACTGAAAAATAAAGCAGAAAATCGAAATGCAAAGAACAATAACTCGTCAAAAAATATATATACTCACAAACACAGCTTCGCATTCCTTTTGCACCGCAAGCTTGGGAAAACAATCCGCGTTTGCGGACTTAATAGAGCAGAGTGCGGTGCAAAACAAATCAACATGCGGATTTACATGCGTCGCTGTGTGTGCACGCATATAGAAATATGGGTGAAAAAATTAAAATTCCTCACTAAATTTAGCAAATGCAGCGCGAGCAAGCCGCAAATGCAACAAAAAAAAGTAAAAAGAAAAAAAAAACAACAAATAAATCAAAAAAAAAAATATATATTTTCCCGTTATTTCAACTGAAATTCGAGTACTTGAAATTCCTTGTTCCGGGTGCGTGCCAACTAAATGCACACATACGCAAACACAACAAGCACACTTGCCTGTCCACTGCCTTCGACTGGCCACTACACAAGTTTACAAATTTTATCAGCTACGAGTAGCTCCCAGTCAATAGAGCTGCATAAGTTTTGTCTGCACAAAAATTTTACTAGTTCGCCGTCCAGCTGCTCGTGTTTTACAGTAACGCTATAACACTTTTACATTTTTGTGGCTTCTATTGCGAGTTTATCCCAAAGTTGTTGTGTTTTTTGTTCCGTTTTTGCGCTGGTGTTTCCTATGGTTCCCTATTAAATTTGGCATACTTCAATTTGGTAACATTCCTTTGCACTTGCTGCGTTTTTGTTGGCGATTTTCTAATTTCGTAGGAATGCTGTAGTGTTCGGCTTGTTACGTGTATGAAAAAGAAGCTTCTACTTGAGTGTTATGTAGGGAAAAATGTGTCTTGTCTTCACAATTCACTGCTCTGATGCAGTGATGTATTTGATGGAGATGGATGAAGTTGACTATAAATCGTTTTTTGTTTATAAAATTTCCTTTAAATATTAAAATTGAAATATCTTCACAATAAAATTAGGGAACTCACTATTTTCCATTACCCATTGTAAAATTATTAATTTTCATACTTGTTTAAAAGAACAACTTGTTCCATTACATACAAAAATGGGTTTACGTAATTACAATTCTCAACACTATGTTTTAGGTTCATTATAACGTACAACTTTATGGATCGATGTAAAACGCCTAAATATAAATAATATGCTTTGAATGCCATTACAATTGACTGTTGACTAATATTTCAAACCAACTTCGTATAAAAATTCAATATAAAACTATATTTTCGCTTTTTTGAAACCGAGTTCATTTAAAAATTTGATTCAGAATTAGTAATTTCGAAATCAGAAGCTTCAACTATTTTTCTTTATACTTTTTAAGTTTAACTGTTCAAGAATATGTGTGAGAGAATATTTTTGGAAAATCAAACTATTTTAAGAACTAAAGCTATTTTGCCGACCTGCCACCGGCGCTGATCGAACAAAAGAGCTTTACGCGAAACTTTAACCTCGGTTTTCTCGAACGTGTCTTTATTAAAGCGAAATTGACGATATGTCCGGTTATATGTACTAGACTGATTTTACTGAAATTTTTAGAGACTCTTCATTCGGACTTGTCTATGGTTGGTTGCTTGTCCTTGGTTATAAGGATAATTCAATTAATATTTTGAATTTATATTACTAAAAAATTATTAACAGTCTTAATAGTTGGTTTTGTATTAAGGGGTACCCTGCATTAAGTGGAATTTTTTGTCTACAGACAATATTCTGGATTTTGTATTAATAATTTGTTTTGGTTTCAAATTGCTACGAGCTTAGAAATCGTGGTTTAAGACCGTTAAAAAGTTATCTAAAATGCATGCCTCTAAACTAGAATACCCTTAAAAAAAAAACACACAATTCTATAAAACATTTTTTTGGTCGGGGGTGGAATTACGATTTCGAAACGGGAGTTTTGAAAAATTACCGTTATTTGGAAAATAAGTTTTTATTCTTCATTAATTTTTTAAAAAACTTCACAAATTAAAAAAAAACTAAAATCATTATAAGAGACAGTTACCAAAAATTTATTTTTGATTATTTCCTGGGGTGTATTTCCGTTATTTCCGTTAAGAAAAAAATTAAAATTTTATTTAACAAAACTTTAAACTAGTTAATATATATTCTAATTGATTTTACTTCCGTGTATTTAGTTTAATTCAATTTAATTTTTATTTTTAATTTTACTTCTATTTTTATTTTTATTTTCTATTTTATATTATTTATTTAGTTTTTAAGTTTAGCTTAGTTTTTTATTTCATTTAAGATTTTAAACCAACTTTATTTTATTTGTTAATTCAGTTAATTTATTTCTTTTTTTTACTTAATTTAATTTAAATTATTTTTCAATTTATGTTAATGAAATTAATCTGCTTTTAGTTTGACTAATTAAATTCTATTTTGTTTACTTCAGTGTATTTTTATTCACTTTTATTTTAATTTTTATTTTAGTTTATTTA